TGTCTGTGTGCACTGAATGTGTGTGTGTGTGTGCACTGAATGTTTATGTCTGTGTGTGTTTTGTGTCGGTGGGGGACTCCGGTCCGGGTTTTTCTTCTCTCTCGCTCCCACCCCCGCCCTCTCCCGGCTTGTTATGACTCCTGTCTAACGGGAGGCACTCGGCTTTGCTGAGCCGCCGACTGGAGGCTGTGTGTGGTGGCGGACAGTGAAGCACAGGCCCCGGGCTCCTTCCCCCGTTTACCCGAAAGGCCGGCCGTCCGCCCGCCTCGTACCCCCACCCCTCGGCCAGTCCCGCGCCATGCAGGCTGCCCTCTTCCCCTCCGACACCGAAGGCGACGACACGGGCGCCCGGGCGCTGCTGGCTCTCAAGTCGGCGCCTTGCAGCCCGAGCCGGCTGAGCGCTCAGCTCAAGAGCGGTGCCGTGCGCTGGGAGCTGGGCCTCGATCCGCAGGCCCCGCCCGACGCCGCTATCGCCAAGCTCGAGGGCCGGGATTTCGAGTACCTGATGCGGCAGGAGTCGGTGACTATCGGCCGCAACTCGAGCCAGGGCCCCGTGGACGTGAACATGGGCCACTCGAGCTTCATCTCCCGTCGGCACCTGCAGATCACCTTCCAGGAGCCGCACTTCTACCTGAAGTGTCTGGGCAAGAACGGCGTCTTCGTGGACGGGGTCTTCCAGAGGAGGGGAGCTCCGCCACTGCCGTTACCCCGACAGTGAGTAGACCGCATGCTGACCAAAGATAGTTAAATAAAACGCTAACCCGCCTTCTCTACCCACACTGTGAGAGAAAAATAAATTTGAGGCCTACACCGGGTTGGGAGTGGAAGCCGGAGCCGGGCTTGGTCTCTGCGTCACCCGGCTACTCGACAACGCGAGGGCGGAGACTTCCACCTGGCGAGTAGGCCCCAAGTAGCTAATGTAAACACAGCAGGCAGACAGCGTGTCAGAGCCAAGTTTGGAGAAAAGGGGGAGGGAATTGTGCAGTGGCTAGGAGGAGAAATCCACGCATGGAGCTCGATGAAAATTTGTATCGCACTTGGCCATGACTTCATTGTGTTCATTGTCGGCCTCCTGGTCTGATTTGTTTTTGTTAGCACACTGAGCAGAAACCAACTTGCATCTGCGAAAAACAATTGGTAGAGGCAGGAACCATCTAAATACTACTAAAATCCTTTGAGCCATAGCATGCAAGACTACGAAACAGGTGCTGACAAATGAGATTAGAGTATGTCTGTCTACAATATATCAAATATAAAATGTTTGGTGACTTGCATGGGCATGGGCTCAATGGCCTTTTTCTGTGCTGTAAAATCTATGGCTCTAGCAGGTCATCGTATGGCCCTTCCCTCTTCAAATGGGCAACAGGATGTGTGTGTGTGTGTGTGTATACATATAGTGATTTAGTTTACAAGCTTGTCAGGAAATGCAGTGCGGTCAAGTGAATTATTTAGCATATCTTGGTTTGCATGTATACTAGGGAAAACAAAGTGGTTTCTTGTGCAATTACAAATTAAAATGTGGTTGATTTTTAGGTTTCTTCTAAGAACATTTGTGTGTAAATGTGTTAGCATTTATAGGTTTTGAGTGTTCACTTTTGAGGGTGTGTGTCTGCATTGAATGAAGTTAATAGGTTTAAGTAAAAAGCGCAGTTCCAGCAGATGACGGCCCCCCCCAGAAAAAAAAAACCTGTGGGTGAAGAGAAACCTTGCACTTGTTTAACACCTTACATGATCTCAGAACCTTTTTAAAATGCTTCCTGTGAACTACTTTTGACATAGTTCATTGTGCTGCTGATTTGGACACCGCAACAAGATAAAAATAACCAGTAAATACAGTTTATTTGACATTGTTTGGAGTGTGGTAAATATTAGTACGCTTGTGTGGTACACTGGGAAAATTCCTAAGTTCATCGATTAGTTCCATAGAAGCGTTTTCTGCCTGCCTGACAGGGGAGACAGTATCTCCAACCGTACAACAACAATTGTTTAACACTAGTTGGCCACAACTGGCAGAAGAGCACAGGAAGACTAATGCTAAATGATTCGATAGGAAATACTAGTAAGAAATCATTTGTTCTTAGAAATTCAGATCCTTGTAATAAAAGCATATTGTTTTGAAACACAATGGTAAACGTGCTTTCTGGTGAGATGACAAGCTGCAATCAAATGCGTTTTATTTGCTGCTGAGGAAATGTAATTCTGATCACCTGTACTAGTTGAAGCACCATCCAGTAAAATTGGATTTTTTTCTTTATGAAGGAGGGGTTTCTTTCAATTATGAATTTCATCTGCGAGAGTGATTATTGAGCTGTTATTATAACCGAATGTGCCCCTTCAAATGACACTATATTGTACTCAAATCTATGAAGAACTATTGTTAGGAGCATATTTAAGATATTGCAGTGCTACTGCAGATTGTGAGAGTTGAATTGTAAAATAGATGTAAATTTTGTCAGAGATTTTACTCAAGTTTGTTGGTACGTCCCCTCACTCGAAGGCTGTGAATGGTTTCCATTTACAGAGAAGGGATATATTTCTGAAAATACTTCATTTCTTAGAATTTGAACAAGGGACTTTCCCTTTCGGTCTTCTTCTCTTTTGACTACATGTATTGAATCAGTATTGATGACATGCATTGTACTGGTTGTCATCCCACAATAAGGAAGGTGTTACATTTTCTCCTCATACTTGTATATAATTTCTGCACACCACTCATTTGTGTTTACTGGTATTTTTACAGTTTGGATAGTGGAAGTTTCCTGCTCATATAGTAATAACTGAGCATACTACAACCTGCAAAAATTGATGTGTTATTTTGAGAAAGGTAGATTTTCATGCCCATGTGCTGCCTTTTTATTTCATATCTGATTCTTTCCACATGCATCTCTTGTATTCGTGGGCATTGGCAGCTAGCCTTCTGTTAACCTGCTACTATTGCTGCTCTTGGATGGGCCTTCAAGAGTATCCTGATAATGATCCTCTCTTTTTGTTTTTTTCCCCTTTGTTTCCCATGGTTAGATATGTTTCTCCTCTTGACAGTTCCTAGACTGCTGTAAGTAAAATGATGGTCTCTGGAAGAGAGATGAGACCACTAATTTTGTAGTGTCAGAGCTTAATATTCCATTGCTTGCTGTTGCTTGGATTACTGGGCCTTCTTTTTAAGAAAACCTTTCTGTTGAAACTGTCCATTTAATTTTCTAGATTTGTGTATCTCTGTATTTCTTTCACATCCCATTATTGTTGCAGTTCTGCATTCTTGTTCTTCTGTGCAGATGTTATCTTGCATCAGTATGTGCAATTTCAAAAAATGGGGTTTAGCGAGGTTGTGGCATCATGAGTGTGATAGGCTTGCCTCAAAAGTATGCTCAAATTTTGAATAGTTTGTAATGAAGATGCAGTTGACAAGGTTTTGGGAATGAAGATCCATATTTCAGTAGTACTGGATGTTGTATTACATAAAGGAATGGCTATCCCTACACACCCATTATAAATTTTCGTCTAAGTTAATGCACTGGAGTGCTACATGTATTAACAAAGAACAGTACAGCACAGGAACAGGCCCTTCGATATACCTTTCTAAACTAAAAGCCTTTTGCTGTACCCAGCCTCTATTCCTCTATTCCCTGCCTATCCCTGTATCTGTCACAATGCCTCTTACATGTTGCTCTTGTGTCTGCTTCAACCATCTTCTATGGCAGCACATTTGCCACCCTCTGTGTAAAAAAAAAGGCTCTTGCAATGCTTTAAACTTTCTCCCAACACTTCAGACTTTCTCCCTTTTACCTTAAATCTGTGTCCCCTAATAATTCACATTTCTACCCTGGGTGATAAGACTCTGACTAACCATTCTAACCGTGCTTCCCATAGTTATGTAAACATCTGCCAGGTCGCCCCTCTCGGCTTCCAATATTCAAGTGAAGGCAAACCAAGTTTGTCCAATCTCTCTGTATAGTTAATACTCTCCAAACCAAGCAACATTCCAGTAAACATTTTCTGTACCCCTTGCCAAAGCCTCCATATCTTGTAGTGTGGTGACCAGAACTGTACACAATATTCCATATGTGGCCAAACTAAAGTTCTATGTAGCTGAAACAAAATTTGTCAATTTTAATACTCTGTGCCCTGACTGAACGCGAGCATGGCATGTGCCGCCTTGGCCGCCTTATCATTTGTGTTGCCACTTTCCGGTAACTGTGGACCTATATGTCTAGACCCATCTATGTTACTACTTTTAAGGGTTTTGCCATTTACTGTATACTTCCCGCTTGCATTTGACTTTCCAAACTGCATAATCATGCATTTGCCCAGATTAAATTCCATCTGCCATTTCTCTGCCCAAGTTTCCAGCCTACCTATATCCTGCTGTATCCTCTGGCAATATAATAGATCATTGATTCATTTTGGAACCAAAATTCCAATTTATTGCTTAACTCATTCACATAACACCTTGTATTTTGCTGAGGTTCTTAACCGTTTAAAGTAATGAGTCAACTCCTAGGGGGAGGCAATGGCCTATTGGTACTATCACTAGACTGTTAATCCAGAGACCCAGGTAATGTTCTGGGGACTTGGGTTTGAATGCTGGCCTAGCTAGTGATGTCCTCATCCTGTCAATGAATTTTTAAAAAATTGATTACATTAATATGTGAGTATCATCAAGATGTATTGTCCACCCAGAGTTGCAGGATTTTGCAAGTACTATATTCTAGTTCTTTGCCATTGGAGAGGGGCATATTGTCTTATGTAGTATATTTATAAAAATGACCGTAAAATAACTGCACCAAACAAAGTCTTAAAATTTAATCAAAACATTTATTTTCCTTCTTCATGTATGGTACACCTACTTATGCAGTTGCTGTAAGCCACTGTATGTGGGTATTCTCATGAAAGGATAGATGCTTTGAAATTGTCACACTGAGATATTAGTTGGCGAACATGGGGTGGAAATTAGACTTTGTTCCCATCTTATGCTAGTCTGATGCCATTTTGGGTGAGCTGCAGTTTGTGAAAGAGTGAACCAAAAAGATGGGAAAGCAGCTTTGTTGTAAATGGGTCCATCTCCATGGTACATTCTTTTTAAAAAGAATAACTAGATTGATTCATTGATTACTTCCACATCATCTTTAGGTTTTCATAATATTAGTTGTGGTTTACAGATGGCCGAATGCTTCCCATTGCTTTGTGAGCCATGTAGATTTGTGTGAATAGAGCCACAAGGGGTCATATATAGTATTTTTAAGTTAATATTTCTAGTAGCTTGCATAGACCAAATTTCAGTCAGCATTGGTGTCTGATTCAGGGTTTATCCACTCAGACAGGTAATGATGCCCCTTTAAAACCTCGATCTACAAAATTCAAACTCTGAAATGATTAACTAAGAAGTGTACTAATCAGACAGAGCTTTAAAATTTTAATTCATCTGATTTTGATGTTTGAACTACTAGTATTCCAGTCAGGTAAGTACAGGAACTGCTAGAAATATACAAGAGCTCAGGCAGGATCTATGGAGAGAGGAACAGGGCTAATATTTATGGTCACTGACCTTTCATCTGAACTGAAAAATGTATTTCATGAGACTTGAGCTCACATTAAGTTGTCATTTCAGGTTTTCCCTTGTTATGTCAATAGGTATTTTAGCAGATTGCAAACTTAAAGGTGATTGCACTTTTATGATTATATTACTACATTCCTATTTGCTTAATTCCAAGTAATCTGTGA